CGAGCCCTGCGCTGCCTTTCTCGAGCCCATGCAGCGCGCGTTCGCGCCGCCCAAGCTCGCACTGCAACGCACATGCTCAATGGCCGCTTGGCCCTCGTGTGGGAGTTCGTCTTTGGCATGTTCATTCAGTTGGCGCCGCCACTGCATTTTGATCCTCTGACATGCATCGACCCCCACTGCACTGTCGAATTTCTCTCGTGAGCATCGCGCCGCATAGCCAAAACCATTAGCCTCGCCATGTCTTCACGCACTGCTTCTTCTGCTCTGCATAGTAGCTTCAGCCTGCCCTGCTGTCAGGTTTTCTGCGCGACGGCGCGCCGCTTTAAGCCAGGGCCGCCGAGGCACTGCCGCCTACTAGTGGTTGTTTCCTCTGCACTTTCAGCCTAGCGGGCTTTCTTCGTGCTGGCAACGCATTGCCCGCACCTCACGAGCAACTCGCTGTTGCTATACTGGGGCCGCCTTCACCTCAGGTCTGTGCTTGTTGGCTCCGCTTGGCCGGCTCGCACCTCAGGGTCGCCTCGCCCCTTTTTTGCATGCTTTCTTTTTATGTGCGCATCGCAATGCTGCGCCCAGGTCTTTCGACCCTGCACCGCGCTGCACCGCCCGGGCCTCCCGGGCTTCTTTTTCTTGAGCCGCTTCGCTCGCCCAGGTCAGCTCCTACCCCGCAAGGCAGGGCATTTTTTGGTCGTGAAGGCTCACTGGTCTAGACTTTTCGCTGCACTGCCCCCTACCCTAATCCCAGCCCCGCCTGCTCAGGTCAGCTACGCCTTCCTCGAGCTCTTCCCAAGGACTCATGCACTGCACCGCTGCGCCTTGCTTTTGTGCTGCACTCGCTCTGTGCCGAGTTTTCCTGTGCATTGAAGCTTCTGCTGCAGCCTCGCTCTCAATCTTTGCGCTTGTTCTTGTTTTCATCGCACCGCCTCGCCCCGCCCTGCTCTGCACAGCCACGCAATGGCCACTAGCACAGCATTGAAAGCCTTTATGCAAGCTCCCCGTGAGCAGCGGGTCACATCGCTTCGCAGCCTAGGGGCAGAGAAGATGGCCCAACTGGAGGGGGAACTGCGCGAAGCCCGCCTTACCCTCTTCGACCCCATGCCGTCGAGCAAGGCCAGCAAAGCACCGCCCCCCAGCAAGGCATCGCCCCCCCCGGTGGAGACGGTGCCTCCCCCCAAGCAATGCCCAGCACAGCCCCCTCCCCCCAAAAAGGAGCCAATCCCCGCACCGCCCAAGGATCCCCCCACCCCACGGGGGCCCCCGCCGCGCGACGGCACCCCGCATCGCGAACGCCAAGCAGCTCGCGGCTCAGACGACCCAGCACCGCAACGCCCAGCTGCTCGTGGTTCCGACGACCCAGCACCGCAACGCCCATGCAAGCCAGGGCACTGGCACAACAAACAGGGCAAGGGGAAGGGCCGCCCATGGGCCGACTTGTCCGATGGCGACGAATGGGACGACATCCCGTGTGTGGATGCCGCGCCCAGCTCTGCACCGCATCCAGCACCGCACCCAGCACCGCACCCCGCACCGCAGCCCACTAACAACATGGACGTTGGATGGGCAGCTTATTTCGCCTATCAAAAAGGCGTCGAAAAGGGCAAGGCCCAGCACCCCGCATACGCACCGCCCTGGTCCCCTCCCCCCTTCCCCGGGGTACCCCTCAGGCGCCCCCCGCCCCCCCCCCGGGACCCCTCTCCGCATCGCCCCGCACCGCTCCGCCCGAGCAAGCACGTGCACTCCGAGGTGCGCTGGGTGAAGGCGAAGGACGGGTCGAAAAGACCCGTCTTTCAATCTCACACAGGGCGAATCTGCTGCGCGGTCGAATGTGGCAACCCTTTTTGCCGCTACGACCGCCTGCCATGCAATAAGCCCTTGCACAGCCCTGCATCGGACGACGTGCACGTTGTGCACAGATGTTCCAAGTGCAAAGAACTTGGAGCATAGCACCGCGCTGTTTCTCTCCGCTGGCACAGCATCGCAAAGCACTGTTCTCTAAATGCGCTTTAGCTTCCTTACTCATGCATCTGATGCTGGCCAGCCTCCGAGCATTCCCCCCCTTTTTTGGGGTTGTGCACTGCCGCTTGGGCAATGCACCGCCTCGCGTGAAGCATTGCTGCTTAGCCAACCTAGAGAACAGCTTAGAGAACAGCAATGTCATCACGCCATGCCCTGCCGTATTTCTTTGCAGTGCTGCTACTTGGGCATCGCATTGCAACGCCTCGGCAAAAGACCCGCGGAGCACTCCCTCTTCTGGTGCAGCTGCACCGCATGCAAGACGCAACACGCCTCAGCCACGCTTGCAGGACCATTAAGGCACAATCCTGCCGTGAGCCCATGCAGCCGGGAGCTCGCACCGCTTAACATTGCAGCCGTGTGCTTGTTCGCACCTTTGCTAAAATCTACGGTCTAGTATACCGACTTGGCCCTGTTCCAGGCTCTCTCCTGTGCTACTGCGCCGCGAGCTTACATGCTTTAGCTTTGGTCGTCTTCTTGTCCTAGTTCTCTTTGCTGTTGAAAGGTGCAGCCGCGAGCACACAGCCTGGGCCTGCAGTGCAACTTTCCTCCTTTGTTGCAAACTCTCTTGGGTTATGCCAGCCCCAGACCCTAAACCTCTTGCCCCCGCAGCCATCTATTGCTCAAACACCATGAGGCGTCGGTGGGCTGCACAGGCCAGCCAGCGCCAGGCTCAGTTATCGGGCAACACAGGCCCTAACCAATCCGCACCGCCTTGCATTGACCTCTCTAGTCAAGCTGCTGATCCTGCCTCGCTGGCACCTGCACCGCCTGCCACTTTAGACTACGGGGACGCATCCCCAGGCACAGATCCCCTCGGCGAGATCGCTCCTACACAGCTGGACTCGCCCTGCATTTCAGTGTCATCCACAGAAGACGTGGAACTTGTGCCGCCGGCACCGCCATGCCACAGCGCTGTCCTTCTCTCTCTCTCGGCGTCTAGCAAGCACCCTCCGCACAACGCTGGTGCTAGCGGCCTCTCCGTGCCAAAACTCCTTTCCCACGGTCCCCTGCCCACCGTGGCTGATCTAGCCGTGCCGCCGCCGGCACTGCATCGCTCCCCGGCGCGCCTCACTATGTACCCAAGCTCGTGCCTTACGCCCCCGGTTTTCCCTAACCCCGCCCCTCTTAAGAAAACCCGCACAGCGCCGCCTTTAACCTTCGGGGGCCTCCCCGTGCCGGCCCCCCCTGCTGCTCCGCTCAGCCTCACGCAGCCACAGCGGCCGCCTGATCACGCTAAAGCGCCGCCTGCTGCTATGCAATCCCTTCAGTCGCCCCGAGCAAGCGCTGGCCCTCGATTGAAGCCTCCATATCCTCGCAAGGTCCGCGTCACACGCGCCAGGCTTTCCCTCGAGACCAGGGCGCAGCACTGTGGCACGCACTGGTCGCAGTTGCTTTTCCGGCTTGGCTCCGCTTCTCTGCTTTTCCGCTCCATCTCAGGCACCAAGGATTCAGCGCAGCACATGCTAGCTGTCATACGCAAATTTGCGCCCAGCACCCTGGAACGCTATCTTCGCATTGCGCACCAATTCCTCTGCTTCCTGGAAGCTTGCGACATCGCTTTCAACCAGGTGTCCCTTGCTGCATTGTTGGACTACCTCGCATCTGCCCGAGCATCGCGGAGCCAAGACCTCGAAATACACCGCATCAGTGCCACGTCCGCCATCAAGGCCCTGCGCTGGTTCCAGAAGCTATCACAATGGGAACAACTCACCTCTGCAATGCAGAGCCCTGTTATCGCTGCTTACTGCTCGCAAAGCACCGCCAAAGATCGAAAGGAAGCCGTACCCATCCCCATGGCTCTCATTGCCGCCTGGGAACAGCGCGTCTGCGACTCCACCGCCCCGCTCTGCACCGTCCTTTGCTTGGGGGCGGCCCTGCTGGCCATTCACGCCAGCCTTCGCTTCGGCGATATTCAACGCGTGGATTTTTCCTCCCTGTCCCTCACCGCCGCTGCCCTGCATGGCGTCTGCTTCGCTACCAAAACTACTTCCAGGGGCCAGCCCTTTGCGGTTACCATCGCTGGCATCACCGGCAGGGATCCCTCTTCCTGCTGGCCTCTTCACTGGCTCTCCGCCATGCACCGCGCCGCCTCCCCTTTTCGTGAGCAAGACGGCGACCCAGACTTTTTATGGGTCAGCACAGCACCCGAGCTGCACAACTTGCTCGAGCTTGCCCCAGCCTCCTACTGCACCGCCATGCTTGTGCTACGTTGGGCGGCAACCCTTCCCTGGCATCCCAACTCTCTCGGCCTGACATCCCATGAAGCATCCCAACTAACCTTGCACAGCATGAAAAGCACCGTCCTTGCGGCTGCTGCACAGCTCCGCCTTAGCAAGGACATCCGCCTCTCACAAGGTCACCACCGTGACAGCGCCGCTCTCTACAGTCGCAACGACACCTTCGACAGCTTGTATGCACAGCGCCGTCTATCTTTAGCGCTCAGCCGCGGCTGGCGCCCGCAACGCAGCATTGCACGTGGAGGCCAGGCACCAGTGCCAGAACCTCCATTCACACTGCCTTCCACAGAACCTCTTGCCGAGCTCCCGGCAGACGCACTCCTCCAAGGAACCTGGTCCTTTTTCGCCACGCGCCATGAAATCCTCCAGGCTACACTGCCGCTGGCCCCTTCAACCAAAGCAACGCGCGCGCCGCTGTCGCCGCCTGCATCGCCTCGCTCCCCATCGTTCGAGCCGGCTTCTCACAGCGACCCCTGCTCAGACGAGGAAGCACGCATGGTTGAGATCGCCGCGCTCCGCCGCCAATCCAGTACGTCATCGCATGCCTCTACATCCTCCCTCTCCTCCGACGTGCCCGAACCAGACGCATCCCCGACGGACAAGCCCCTGTATGCATGCACTCGCCCTTGGGGATGCTGGCACTGCCTCAAACCGCCCGACGACTCGGGCGTGCTCCGCACCGCGTGCGGCTTGGACCTAGGACTGGCGTCCTTCACCTCCGAAGAGCCGCCGCCTCCCCTCTGCCGGCACATGGCATGTGTCATCAGACGCGCCGGACATTTGCGCTGATCACGGAAAATCACGCCGCAGCCTGCACTCTCACAGCTTCACGCCTACCACAAGCACTGCCCTGTTGCCCAGGTCTACGACATGTCGTGCGCCAGCCCCGCTTTGTTTGTCTGCTCGCTTGGCGCTTATGTTGAATCTCTTTTCTCCGCAGCCGTTTGTTTTGTACTCAAACCCCGCGTGATCTTTAGGCCGTCTCCATGGCAGACGCTTCTGCCGGAGTATCCTTAGAGTCGCCGCAAGCACTCAAACAACTCCTTGCATCGCTCCAGGTGCCTGATGCATTGATCACTGCACTGCAATGTGCGGGCATCGACACCGTGCCCGATTTTGCCTTCGCTTACGCCACCACACAAGAGCTGGATGTTTTCTGCTCGGACGAGCATGCCGAACTTTGGGACAACATGGGGGTGTCAGACCCTCAGCACAGCCCTGCAATGGCCCGGCTTCGCCGCGCCCTTCATAAAGCCAAGCACCTTACCGAAGTATCGGACTCTGCACCTGCATCATCCTCCACTCCCGCACCCAGCACCGCACAGTTCCAGCCCAACGCTTGGGCTGAGCACGCACCGCCACGCCTTGACTCGGCCAGCATTGCACAGCTGGTCAAGGATTTCCAGCAAAATTACCCCGGCGAGCATTTGGACGCCGACGCCATGCCAAGCGTACGCCTGCTTAGCATTGTGCACCGCTGGTTTGTACCAGGCAATGCAATCAGCTGGGTCCCCTGGCAATTGCGGCTCTCCGAAAAGCAATACCAAGAGATTATCGAGAGCCGCGCGACAAAAACGCTCCGCACCGAAGCAGCCTTTCTCAGCACCGCGCTTTTCGACGACACCCCCGAAATGCCAGTTGATCACCTGCGTCTCAGCCCTGCATGGCTAGGACGCATTCAAACCGTCTTCCGCAATGCAATTGCACTGTGCAAGGGAGCTCATTTGCAGCGCCTTAAGGCCTATGATAAACAAATCCTGGACCTTGCAACCCAAGCACCGTCCGACGCATCGCTCCGCACAGTGTCCACAAGCGAACTGGTGTCCGCTGACCGCAAGCTCTGGAAAGAAATTTCCACCCTCTGCGCCTCCGGGTGGACACTGGACGACGCCTTGCACGAACTTACCACAGTCCGTTCGGACGTCGGGAACCTGCTGCAGCTCCGCGCCAGACCCCCACCACCGCCACTGCGACCGCCACGCGACCCTAACGCACCGCTGCGCGGCAAAGGTAAGACAGGCAAAGGCAAGACAGGCAAAGGCAACGCACCGCCGCTTAAGCGCAAGACCCCTGGAACGCCAGCACCGCCCGACAACGCACCGCTTGACCTTGTCAAGTCGCACGGCAACAAAACCTT